CTGGACATGGAAAAAGGTCACAAACGTCGTTGCATTTAAATTGGATATGTTCTTCTTGCATAGAAAGTAACCATTCCTCGTCAAGTAAAGCATCATACATCATTTTATGTTCAATATGAGAAATTAAAGATGAATAATTACATAAATTATTAACTCGAGATCTAGTACTTATACCTCTCTTGATATCTTAGAGTTTTTGATCCAACAAATAATCTTTTGCAATTATCGAATCTTAAGATAGTTGATTTGAGGTCTCTTGTTTTTCTTTAGCATGTGAGCTTTCCTATTTATCTTCATTAATGTCCTCATCCTTTGGTGAAGGAGGATCCTCTTTGGAAATTTTGACGTTGATCAAATTTTTCGCTTTCACACATGAAATATCTGAACAAATACCTTTCCCTATAGCTTTAATCGAAGATGAGTCCCCTAAGAATATTCCTTCATCAGACTTAGCATCAAATTTACCAAGATTGTCTTTTATGTTCTTTAAAATGAAACATTTGCACCCGAAAACATAAAAGTAGGAAATGTTTGGTTTCCTAACTTTAAGTAACTCATACGGTGTCTTCTCTAGAATTGGTCGAATGACCGCACTATTTAAGACATGACATGTGGTATTAATCACATTCGTCCAAAAGTAATTGGAAAGCTCGTTTCACTTAACATGGTCTGAGCCAATTCTTCTAAAACTCGGTTTTTACACTCAACAATATCATTTTATTGTGGAGTTCTCAAACATGAAAAATTACGAGCAATCTCGTTTTCATTACAAACGTTTTGAAATTGATGGTTTAAAAACTCACCACCATGATTATAACACCCCAATTTAGATTATTTATGAATTTGTATATTTAAGTAATTATTGAGCTATGCTAATTAAATAAATAAATTGTGATTCTTGTATGAGTATGTGGGTTATGGGAGGTTGTAGGGAGAGTTTGGTGGGTTGGTAGAGTAATTAGAAGAAAATAGAATTTAAATAATATTTTAGATAATTTAAATAATTAAATTAGTTAGTAAATAAGAAAAATAGTAGAAATTAGAATTAGTAGAGGAATGAGGGGGTAAGTAAAGAGGTTAAAAAGAGGTTAGGTTTCTAATAAAAATGGATAAGTAAAGAGTTTTGGGGATTAGAACGTGAAAACAAAAGTTTTGGAGAAAGAGGCAAAGGTGTGAAGAACAAGTCTACAACTCAAGAAGGGAAGAACCAAACTTGATTAGGGAGCTTGCTTGCTAGAAATCTAAGGTAAGTGGGGAGAATAACTTTCAATAAAGGTTTATGCATGAGGGGTAGGGTAGATGAGTCATTAATCTCTAATAGAGTGTATGATATGGATGAATTCTGATTATATGTGATGTATGATGAGAATTTCCTGTAATTATTGATGACTTTCGTGTAGTAATTATGACTGATTTTTTATTTTGATACCTGATGTGTCTTCCACCATTGTTGAAATTTCGAAGGTTTTAGGCATAAACTTAAAATAATGATTTGGTGATTTAATTGTGTTAAAATTATGAATTAACTTGATATAATTAGGGTATTGCATAGGTTGTAATTTTTTTGAGCGTTTAAGTTTTTACGAAATTGAAATTGAAGGTCCAAAAGGCCTCCAATGATGAAAAATGCAGAAAATTTTACATTCTCCCCGTCACGACCGTGCTCAGCGCGAGAGCCAGTTTTCAGTCAAAACCGTTTTGGCCATAACTTTGGCCCCGAAAGTCCAAATCGAGTTTCCTACCAAGTAAGCTATTGTATTGAGTTTCCATAACTTTTGGACATAAATTTTGTCTAACTTGATTTCCTACCAAGTAATAATGTATTTAGAGACTAAATATGTTGTATTAATATGTTAATTGATGAGGCTTATATGTATTGTTGACGTTATGTTGAAGATGAATGCTATGATGAATTTTCTTTTGAGATACGAGTAGGAATTTATAAATTATACATGTTGAGGTGTGTATTGTTGAGCTAAAAGTGAGTTGCACACATGTGAGTTTATAATTTTATTGAGTTGAATTATTAAATGTGCTCGAGTTGTATTGCTATGACAAGATGTTAAGCATTGAGAATAAGTATGAAATATGTGAATATTGTGAATATGGATTATGTAGAGGGAAAATTTGAGATTAATCTATTGATTTACTTAACTCATAGAGGAAAAATCACCACCGTCCTTTTATTTTTCCGAAGGAATGGGGAAAAGAACAAACAAAACCCACAAAAGTTTTAAAACAAAACTAATAAAACAGAGAGACAAAGGGTGAGGGAATTGGTTATGTAATATGAATGTGTTAGCACCAAAAATATCTATAGTACTATATAGGAATCTCTTGAAAATCTATGTTTGGCTTAAAATGTGTTGTTTGCAAAAGATTGAGGAGGTGAGAAGAGAAATAATTTTTTAGGGTTTTTAGTGTTTGAGAAGACTTCTTGAGCCTCGTGCCTACGTACCCACAAAGTTTAATGGAGGATCAAAACCTCGTAGTTTATGATAAAAATAACAAAAGAGATCCGCTTTGATTGATTTAAATGGAAATACTAGTTGTCATTTTCAAGAGAAAACTCATTTAGACACCCATAAGTATATGAAAATGGACATTTACATCACTATTGAGAAGGGATCCAACTTGGATTGAAATCAACAAATATGCCACTAACTCTCTCAAGTGGAAAAGAATCAACATGAAACATTACTACAGGGATAGGAGAATTATATCTCAACTATAAAAATGACTCATGTCTAAACCTTAAGAAAAATGTTTAAAAGAGAAAAGTGCACAAACGACACAAAATGCTTTAAATGAGTTGTGTGTTTTTCATGTTTTTTAAATTATTTTGATATGCTTAAGATGAATTAGCACTTTATTCAAGAAAAAGAGTTTGAAAATCTATTGACAAAGTCAAGGTTTATTGAGAAAGTGGTACAAGTTTGAAAACAATAAGGTTTTGAAAATTTAAGAAGGGGGGAGATAAAGAGACTACCATAATGCACAAAGTAAAATCCAAGGAAGGAAAGATCTAAACAAAATAGAAAGCTTTTGACATAAGTCAAGCCAAAACTCCAATCCTTTATATTAAGCAATAAGCAACCAAACAAGTAGAGAAATAACCAAGCATCAGATAAAGAAGAACTTAAGGTAAGGCCAAAGATGAGGTAACAGAGCCAAGTCTTCCAAAAGTCAACCCAAGGTCAAGGTACTAGATGAATTCCAAGGTCTCAAGTCACAACTCCAAAACATAGGATCAATAACCTAATTCTAAGTCCATAAGTCCAACATCCAAGCACGGGATAGTAACTGTCATACCCCAATTTTTATCCCTAGATACCACCTTCATTTTCATAATTTGAATAACATCATTCACTTCTTATGCATTTCTAATCCCATGAAAATACAAGATATGCTTTTCTTGTTTTGTTTACAAGTTAAGGTTTTGCATCATGAAGTTCAAGTGGTTGGTCAATCAGGGTTTATTGTGACCCTCAACATCTCAAGCTCCTCAATTAATGCATAGTGATCAAGATATTACCTCCATCAATAATCAAGTTTAAATTTGCATCAATTCAAGTTCATCAAGTTTCAATCCATCATGTGCTCCAAATTAGGGTTTTGGTCAAAGTCAGCTTGATGCTGACTTTTTAACCAAAACATAATCTCATGGCTTGGAATTTGATCAAAGGATTGAATTTCATCAATGTGTTATATTCATGTGGTTAAATTGGCTCAAGAAATTGGATTCATTGATGGTTGAAGAATTTTGATTGAACTGATGAAAAGTCAACAATTGCTCAATGTCAGAGTTTGACTTTTGACATTTTGGTCAACCATGGACTTCTCAAGTCAAAAATCATGAAATTTTGGAAAATAATTGATTCTGATCAAGCTAAATCAATAAAGTCAAGAAAATATCAAGAATTGTCAAAATTAGAGTTTTTTGAAATTTCACAAAGTACAAAAATCCATGACCAAGTAACCAACTTTTCAAGGTTGTAACTTTTACCTAAAGCATCCACTTGAAACGCTTGATAGCTGCAATTAAATATGGTATTTGATACTATAATTTGATGAAAATTTGAAGCCAAAAAGCTTTCTTGAAGTGGAAGAAATTGATGATCAAAGTTGAGGTTTCAAGTTGTTGCAAAATTCAAGACACTTGGCATTTTTTCTAAGTTTTTGACTTTTTCAAGTGCATGACTTTATGGCCAATTTATGAACAATCTAAGAATCCAATTGAAACACTTGAGGAATACACTTAAAGAGCATACTTCCTACTTCATCATGGTGGAAAACCTGATCCAAAAAGCTCTTTTCAATTCAGAGATATGAAGGATCAAAGTTAGGGTTTCAAATTATGGAGGAATGGCATAATGAACCAGAATTTCATTAAGTGTAATTCAGTTTGTTCTACACGAGTTGGAGGCAAAATTTAGGGACTTTCCAATTCTTTCCTTAGCTTTTCATGATCACCAAACTTGTTCCTTTATAAGTTAACTTTACAAAGATGACATTTTAGTACCATATAAGTTCGTTCGCAATGTATTTGTCGTATGTTGGTATGAATCCTTCATTGCCCCATTGTGTTTCAACCAAGTCGGATTGTGCTAGGTTATAAAACTATAAATGAATAAAAATGTTGAATGATAATAAAGTTTAGTAGGATGAAAATCAGTTTTAAAATATGATTAAGAATTGGAATCTTACAACATGTTTAATATATGGTGGCACAAAATTCGATTTTCCATTCTCTAACAATGTCATCTCTATTTCATCCCATGGTCCTGCAACAGTTTTGAATACCACTTTCATGCACTCTGGTAGGGATTGAATGAGACTAAAATACCACCTGTAATTCAGACATCAAGAGAATTTATAGCCAAAAAGTTTAGAAAGATTATATATAATGAGTTTATTAGTTCTTTTGGATTCAAATCAACCTTTGGATTGCCTCTGTGAATATTTTGAGTTCTTCTACCGTGCCGAATGCATCATAAGTATCATCTAAAAGAGAAATGCATGACACCAATTTTCCTCCTATCTTTCTTGAAGTGGCATGCCAATGGGCAAAAGTAAGCCTCAACCAATATATCCCTTGCGTAAGGGACTTCCTTTATAAAGTCTGATTTTTTCCACCACCTGTAATAATATAAAAACAACTATTATCATGTCGATTAAAAGCTTATTCGCTTAACTTAACTGGTATAATGTGCTGCTTGAGTTAGATGTGAGTGTAATCAGTTGGTCTAGGGTTCAATCCTCTTTTGTTTGAAAACTTAGTACATTTTGCAATACTTACTTGGTGATACTGGCAAGTTCTTTTTGATGCATTTTTTGTAGCATGTTGAAATCTAATTTTGCAAAGTTTAGAATAACTTTACTACGTGAATGATCTTGTTCGTAGGAAGATATGTAACACCTTGTCTCCAATCTAGGAATTCCCTTATGTGGTGGTTTCTTTAAGCATTGAGTTACTTGTGCACGAAGAAAAGTGCTCAATTGATTGGTAGTAATTTTGGAATTCATGCGAGCTTGTGTGAAATCAAGTGCTTCATCTAATATATCTTCTCTGGTAATCTTTAAATGTGCCACTTCATACAAGCTCCACATTCCTTCAACATCTTTATCAACCTTTTCATTGAAGCTCCCTTTATTGTTTTTGAACTTTTTAAATATATCTGTCAAAACTCACCCAAATGTTAAGATATTTTTCAATTTTGATTAAGAATCTACGTATATAATATGAATAATTGTGGATAAAATTCTACATATACCTGGTGAAATATGATGTCCTTTTTGCCTACGCAAGCGAAATGCTAATGTCGGAAAGTGAAGGCAATCTTATTCTTTTGTGATTATTTCGTTATTGATGATTAAACTACTGCGGATATGTTCTAATGCTTTGAAATTCTAGTGTCAGATATGAGATGTCGAAAGAGATGTCACGACACTAATATCTGAATAATTACCAATATATGAATAAGATAAAAAGAAGTTAACAATAGTAAAGAGACACAAGCAATTGTTAACCTAGTTCGGTGCAAACACACCTACGTCTGGGGGCTACCAAGTCAGGAAGGAAATTCACTAAATAGAATTAGTTTGAAGATTCACAGCAAACTCTCTCTAGTTTACAATCTTCGCACCTAATCTCTACCCTTGCAATTTCTATCTAAGAAACTCTTAGATAAGAGACATCGCTCACTCCCCCTCAATCACAGCAGTGATGAAAACATATTAGTAAAATGTAGAAGACGCCCTTCAAGGACAAAACTTGATCTTGCTTAAAAACTTCAATCAAGAACAATGCATTCTTGCTTAAAAGCTTAGAGTGGACAACTTACAACTAAAAAACTCAGTCCAATTCACACATCAAGGTGATGAGTGAATGGCTCACAATTAACAAAAACACACGAAGCTAAAAACCTTATTCCTTAAGTAATGCACACTCACAACCCTAGCTTCTCTAATCTTCAAAATAGGATTGTAAAGTCTATATATAGTAACACTTTGGATGGGCTTGGGATTTAGCAAAAACTACCTTTGATTTGATTGAATCAAACCAGATAATTTTTCAAATCTTTTCATAAATAACAACATAGAAATAGAACCAAAACATATTTGATCAAATCAAATCAAATCACACTCTAAATCTTCTCAAGATTTTCTGCATAAAAATAGAACAAAATATTCCACAGTACTCCACGAATTAACTAGCAGAAGCTCTTTTGTTTAAAAAAGATCTCCAAGTTTGATTTGCACCAGCAGAAATACTTATCATAAAATCACACAAGGTTGCATAAAAACGCAACAGATAAAACATAACATTCTCACTCAATGTTCTGTTCACAAATATCAGGACATCATAGTTGACATCATGAACTAAAAACCTGCAACATTAAGAATAACCACCTGCAGAATGCTAAGATCATATGTCAAGACATCCTATAGGACATCTTGTGATAGCACCAAGTTTTACCAAAATTGCTGCCAATCATAGAACTAACAAACTCCCCCTTTGGCGAATTTTGACTAAAACAACCAAATGATTACAAGAGTTCTTAGAACATATCAGAGAGCACAGCAGCAGAAAAATACAAATATTGCTCCCTCCCCCTCAAACCAAAATGTAAGAAAAATAAAACAAAACTTCCCCTCAACATCATAACCAGCAGCAATTAAAACCAAACCTCCTCAAATCAGAGCCAGCAGCAACTCCTCATGCTCTCTCCCCCTTTTAGTCATAAATAAAAGAATCATACTAAGGGAAACACAATGACATAGAACAATTATACATAACCAATAGAGTTAAGTGTGCAGTAAGAACCCAAATAATACAAGTCAAAAGCATATTAAGTGCAAGAAGAACAAATTTTGAATCAACAAACAAAATAACCATAATTCAAAGAACACCATCACCAAGCACCATAAATTTTCTTCCTCATACCCAGAACTGTCATCTTCATCATCAGTTGTAGACCCAGAAACATGATCACCAGTCTTCTCACCAGAGGCAAAATCCTCCCCGTCTTTCTCTTCCTGAGCATCAGCAACCTCCACATCATTTTCTTCATTCTTTTCTAGATTTTTAATCAGTGCTTCCAACCTTAGTTTCCTTGCAGTAGCCATACTAATAACTTCTCCCAATTCCCTACAGGTCTCCTTTAACTCTAAGATAACCCTAATCTTTGTAGTGGATGTCTTCTTAGAAGATGTCAAGACAATGTCTGGGACATGTCTTCCTGCAAACAGCTTATAGTGGAGTGACAACACAAAATCCCTTTTGTAGGCCACATCATTACTTGAGAGGATACCAGGATACTAGATCAAAATAATCCCACAAATCAAAGAAGGGAAAGCAATAGGTAGCTTGACTGCATTGGTGGTGGCATGCTTCACAATTTGATCAAAGATGTAGCTGCCATAGTCAAACTTAACCTTGGTACCAACAGCAAAAATAAACCTTCCTAGCCCAACAGCAATGGTGGAAGTGTGATTGGTAGGCACCCAGTTAGCTACACCAATCCTATGCAGGATAGCATACTTCACACTCAGTTGGCCAGCAGATAGTTTACCTTTTAAGGGCCATGCAGTAACTTGGTTAGCTGTGATTACTTTGCAAACTTGATTATTAGTTACCTCCAGTTCACCAGCCTCTTCCTCATCCCTACCTAGAAACCTGTTAATCACATCAGCAGAAAACTCAACACATCTTCCTCTCACAAACACCTTCATAAATTCCTTGCTCTTTATGTCAATAATGTCTTCAGGAATGTTTACAATGAACTCCTTAACCAACATATCATAGCATTTTGAAAATCCAACCACAGTCTTTATCAGCCCAGCATCAGAGGTTAACTTCATGACTTCCTTGATCTCAAGAGCATCCTTACCCAATTCTCTCTCCAAAGAAACTCTTCTCTAGTACACAAACTTCCACTTTGCCACATTATCAATGGAGTAGAAAGACACATTGTCTAAAGGAGCAGCAGACACAATATCTGTTTCTCTCTTGATAGTAGATCTTTTTACAGGAGTGATGTCTTGGACATCATCCTCAGCATCTTCATCAGATTCAGTATCTGACCTAGCCTTTCTTTTCTTAGAGACATGAGTGACTTTGCTCCAAGCTTTAGGGGGTCCAACAACAGTTTTCTTCTTATTACTCTTAGAGGGAGATTGATCAATCACAAATTTACCTCTCCTAGTCTTCAACCTTTTGGCAATTCCAGGAGCCACATTCTTAATTAGTTCATCATCAGATGGAACATTATCAAGGTCCACCACATCATTAGAAACATTAAACTTCTTCTTACTTTGATCTGAACTATTAGTTTTGTTTTCCACACCAGAGGTGCCACCATCCTCATTAGCATCACCTTCCATCCTTCCTTCTTTGAGCACAAAGTTAGCTAACTTGTGCTGATTATCAGTGTCAGGGTTCTTCTTAAAATGAGAACCATTAACATCCTTTTCTTCACCTTGGTTAACATCAATAGTGGGAACAACATTCATTCGAGACAGTGGGGTAGAAATCCCAGGAACATTATGCCCTCTATACAGAACCTTAGTAACTAATTTCCTAATGGCTCTATCAACATATGCACTACCCTCTTTGTTCCTATTTTCAGTTGTTGAATCAAGAGGAGTATTAGAAGATTTACCTATAGGGGCCCATTTGGAACCGCTTGCATGTATGGTTATGGATTTTGTCACTTCAGCATCATCACATGGAACCATGGCTAGAGGAGTTACATCAAGCACGTCATCAAATGAGATGCTCACAGGTTGAGCCTTTGTCTTAGAATCAGACCTAGTGGATTTGGAAGAGATAGAAACATGTTTTGGAGACATCTTGAGATATTTGTGTGAGAGAGAGAGAATGGGGTTCAAGCAGAGGTTCAGTGAAGGTATGGGAGATGAACGGGCAGTTGGAGTGAAAAGTGTGGTTAGGGTAGCGTGTGGAAGTGACTTTTAAAGTGTTTTGAAATAATAAGTGATGTTGAGAAATCTTTATTTTTGGAAAATACCAAACCTCTTAACTGATATTTCCACTAAACAATAATTGCTGCAAATCCTCATAAATGCAAATCCCTAATTTTCGTCTTAAGATTTCAAACTGACTAGCATCCAATGCCTTAGTGAAGATATCAGCTAGCTGCTTCTCTGTAGTAACATGTTCTAAAGTAATGATTTTATCTTCAACAAGCTCCCTTATAAAGTGATGACGAATATCAATATGCTTGGTCATGCTGTGTTGAATAGGATTTTCGGAGATGTTTATAGCACTTAAGTTGTCACAATATAATGTCATGACATCTTGTGTGACATTATATACAATCAGCATTTGTTTCATCCAAACCAGTTGAGAACAGCTACTCTCAGCTGCTATATACTCAGCTTTAGCAGTAGATAGAGAGACATAATTTTACTTCTTGCCAAACCATGATATGAGATTGTTCCCCAAAAAGAAGCAGCCTCCTGATGTGCTTTTCCTATCATCAGCACTTCCAGCCAAATCAACATCACATTATTCAGACAACACATAGCTAGACCCATGAGTGTATAGCATTCCATACTCACTTGTTCCATTAACATACTTCAGAATCCTCTTTACTTGATTGAGATGACTCACTTTGGGTTCAACTTGATATTTAGCACATACCCCTACAACAAATGCAATGTCAGGCCTGCTTGCTGTAAGATATAACAAGCTCCCTATCATACTTCTATAGAGACTTTGATCCACATTAATACCCTTTTCATCTTTAGACAACTTAAGATGGGTAGGTGCAGGTGTTCTCTTGTGACTGGCATTCTCTATCCCAAACTTCTTAACTATATTCTTGGCATATTTAATCTGAGATAAGAATATAGAATCTTCCATCTGTTTGACTTGCAATCCAAGAAAATAGGTTAATTCACCAACAAAGCTCATTTCAAATTTTGAATGCATTTGCTGGACAAAATGTTGAACCATCTCATCAAACATCCCACCAAACACAATATCATTAACATATATTTGAGCAATCATGAGTTTTCCTCCTTCTTCCTTGATAAGCAATGTCTTATCTATGCCACCTTTTATGTATCCATTATCAACAAGAAAT